GATTTCAAATCGGTGAGCCTTATTAATTGAACGAGGAAGAAGAAAACAGCCATGATTCACACGGGTTTTAAAATACGGAAATAGCACTTTTAACGTCAAATACCTTTTATGCAGTAACTTATAATCTGCCTGGGTCTAACTCTCTCCAAGTTTGAATATAATCTGGCTCGGGCTAACTTCCAATTTGAATGTAACCTAACTGGGTTTAAATTTTATTCAAATTTAAATATAATTTCACTGGATCTAATACTCTTCAAGTTTTTACAATCTGCCTGGGTCTAACTCTATCCAAATTTGGATGAAGTTTAGCTGAGTCTAGCTATCTTCAAATTAACTCATTCCAAATTTTAATATAATTTAACTGAGTCTAACTCCAAGTTTGAATATAACCTAGTTGAGTCTGGCGGAGCCCATCCCTCTCCAGGTTAGGCCACAACCAATGTCCTCCAATTAGGTGGCTCACCTTGGTCGTGAAGATGTGGCCGTTATAGTTCCTCTGAGAAACCTTTCGGTCCTGACCGGTGACCTATGTCGAGGAAGTGTTTTGCCCATTGACGCCGTGGGTCTCTATACCAATTTTAATATAAGTTTGCTGGGTCTAAACCTCTCCAAGTTTTAATATAATTTAATTGGGTCTATCTTTATCCAAATTTCAATACAATTTTATTCCGTCAAACACAATTCTTTACAATCTGGCTGTGTCCGACTTTCGCCAAATTTTAATACAATTTAGTTGGGTCTAACGCTCGAAATGATGATAATCTAGTTCAGTCTAACACTAAGTTTATTGGAAGTGTGGAATCTTCCACATTAGCCTTCCACCCCTTTCGGAAAGATGTATTCTTCTCTAAAAAAGCCTTAACCAATCACCACTTCGTTTCAGTAAATTCAATCTTCTATTGGTTAAGAAACACTAAACTCTAGCAAAGTCGAAACAGATCCTTTTTCCCGCCGAAGCTCCCTGGAGCCGAATTTTATACACCAAACTCTATATAAACAGCCGCATGACTCAATTCAAGTCAGTCAGTCATCAAGTTTCGTGAGATGCTACCAAACTTCACGCGTATCAATTCACTGACTCAACATCACTTCAAAATTCTCAATAAACTCAACACAGCACTCAATCGACCATTGTCTGCGTGGTAATCAAATTACAATTGACTTAATAAACAAACAGTAATTGTACAATTAATCAATTTAGCCAAATAGTTAAAGGCAAACAAGTTTTCACAACTTCAAGTCTAACTAACAAGTAACACACGCATACACACTAATATTTGAACGAACACATTTGAGATTTTTCCTTGCAGAAACCAAATTATTTTAATTTCACTAACAAATCAAAACCATTAACTTTTATTGACCAAATTTCTGCATGAACATTCTTCATAACCTTGTCTCAATTGCCACAATCAACAAACATTCTGTTATCCTTGCTTGTATATCTATTGTAGATATAAAAATCTCTTTATTGTTGGATCTCTAACCACTGTGTTTTTAGTAATTTCTTGCAATACAAATTGTCCTTATATTCTTTATGTGATCTACGTGTTGTGGGATAATGCATAATAAGCACGCATAATCTTTGTCTTACATAAATTACTTTCTGATATATTTTCACTCAAGCTACAACCCGCAAGAGAAGCATTGGCTATTTGTAATGTGTGTGTGTGTGTGTGTGTGTGTGTGTGTGTGTGTGCGCGTGTTTACTTTCCATCAATTTTAATTCATTTTTTTCCTCGCGTGTTCTAGGTTTCGTCAGTTTCACTGTATGGACATAAGAAAAAACTTAAAGCAGTGAAATCGTAAATGCCTTTATTGATAAATATATCTCTATGTCAAGGCATAGTTCTTTTTTTTTCTAGTTTTTTTTTTTTTTTTTTAGAAATTTTATTTGAGTCTATATAGGCAAACATTGATCATTTTATAACTTCGGTCTATAGGTCGGGTTTAAATTTGAGTCGCTATATAAACATTCGTCGAGTTTATAGTAGAGTTTGACTGTTACGTTAGTTTAAAATTAAAAAAAAATGTTAATAAAGAAGAAAACTGGATTTTGATCAGAAAGGAAATATTTGAAAAAAACTGGCGGAGTGAATATAAACACAAAGAAAATATGAAAACATTAAGAATTTTGGTTAAAGACATGAAAGCAACCAAACGACAACAAAGAAAAATACGTGAGCTGGGTGAAGAAGTACATGAAAACTGATTTCTCAATCGATTTAAATTCAGCTGAGTTCATGTATTTTTCGTATTATATTGTTGTGGTTACTACTCCTAGGTCAAGCAGCAGCAGTGGTAATCAAAATGTTTGCATGTGAATGACGGGTTGTCATTAGTCGCAAAGATAAAAAGAAATGGAATTAATGTAGAAGAAACGAAAGAAAATTTAACATGAAGAGATTTTCTTGTATTTTTATACACACAAATAAAGGAGTGACAAAAGGAGAGAACATATACTAGTGTGTACACAACCGAAAAAAAAGAAAAGACATTACACTTAACTGTTAGGAAATGTGTGTATCTTTCGTGTGCGATACGCACGTGTGCGTGTGTAAATGTTCAGTCGATCGGAGTAAAGAAGTCCTCGCCAATCGGGACAAAGGGCCATGTGGAAACATTGCTACATACTGGCGCAAAAGAAAGAACCTTGTGTTCTTTCTTTATAGTCCTTAAACAGCGCCAGCTAACGGCGTCTTAGCAGACCAAGAGGGGGTAAAACCCGCAATATTAATCCTTAACATTGATTTGGTACACGCTATGTCTTATATGCTGTGCTGTGCTATTTGTTCTTTTGATGACGTCCGCCACCTGATGACATCAACTTCTTCTGGCAACAACCACCACGAACTCCACCAGCTTCCACCCTCCCTATCACGTTCCACTCTACAAAGGACCTCCGACACATCTCCCTCTGCACTTTCAGACACAATCAGCAAGCCTAGTGTGATTTCTATGGCTCTTCAACCTAAAAGACGAAACATGATTTCAAAATCTCTCCTTAAAACTACCCCCCAGCACATCCAATGTACACGTTACCGAAACCACCACTATCATAGACCTTAGCAGTGCAAATGACGCCTTCAACGCAGGACCCCCATCCAATGGACAACTGTTTCCAATTGTGAGGTTCCACCTCCTCCCTTCTTAGCTCTGAATTTTGTATTGCACACTTTTTTGTTGTCTATACGTTTTAGGCGCGGCTGTTTTCAGTCTTCCTTTTACATTTCTATCCGTATATATATATACATGTATATATTTATGTGTATATATATATATATATATATATATATATATATTCCTTGCCACTTCAAATTTTCAGAAATCTGCAAGGAGGTTTTTCGGGATCCCCATCATCTGCTTCTTCATGTTCTCCTTAATCTTGTCCCCGTTTCAAAATTTTAAATATTATTACGGATTACTTATAATTGCATGCATGAGTTCCAGTATAAATAGTTATAAATAGTTATTGACCGATTTTTATATATATATATATATATATATATATATTATATTTTGGCATTATATGAAGTGTTAAGAATATAGTAACTTGGCTCCGCAAATTGGAGGAGAGAGTTATCAATGATAATGTTCCTACGCCGAATCAGGGGTTATCTCCCTTCTAACCTCTCTCTGTTTTTTATTTTATTTTAATTTTTAAATGTATTTTTTATCACATAAAATTTGTTGGGGCGCGAGAAAATTTTAATTCCGAAAATGCGACCCAGAGGGGAAAAAAAGTTTGGGAACCACCGGGGCAGGGTGAATGGTTTTACTACCATGCATTGGGTGTCCATTGGAACTTCAAGTTCATCCCAGGTCTGAAGTGAAATTAATATGTACGATCCATCGATAAAGACGCTGGAAAAATGGTCGGATGCTTACACCGGTCCAGAAAGTATCTTTACAAGAGTCAGATCAGAGCGAAAATGGACTATTGTTGTCATATCTGTACTGGATCTACCCAATACTCACTTCCCAGAAAAAAATAAAATAAAATAAAATAAAACGGTTCAAAAGCGTAGGTAATGAATTATGTTCCAACCGCCAAATCCTCTCCCACAGACGCAACGCCTCCAGGCTCTTGCTACTCTATGGCTGTTTATATAGAACATGTTATAACAAGCTAGATTCCCTAATTCCAGTAGTTCAGACGTTTACATCTAAGGCTCGCCACGTCATATACACAGCGGCACTGCAATCTTAACCTCCTCAAGTCTAGGATCAGCCGTTACCTACCCTACATATCCTCCTAACCTGCACTTATTTCTCCTATGTCCAAACAATAATCTCATTCAGTAAGCTTCTATCTTGAGTGACTCCTGGGCCTTGTATTGGAGTAATATTTATTTAAAAGAAATAAAAATGACACTAACTCCGCGTAACGTGTTCTCAAGATATTAAAAATTACAGGATATTTTTTGAACGGGCTTCATATTATGAGAAAGGCCTTTTCTCTCGATCTTGTGCTTTCTCGTACGGTTTCTTTAGTACTTGATACTTTAAACTGAAATTCGAGATATCTCAGCTGTCGACTTATTGCTTTATCACTGAGTCATAACAATAAGTGCAAGAGAATAGCACTCAAATAAGGAAGGAAGTAAAAAAGAAAGAAAGAAAGAAAGAAAGAAAGAAAGAAAAGAAAAGAAACAATAGAGTATGATGGAAAAAAAGAAAATGAAAATCGGAATAAAAAGAAAGGAAACTCTATCTCAAAAAAAAAAAAAAAAACGTATCAGAAACGAAATAAAAAACGAAAGAAAGAAATGAAAGAAATTCGATTTTTCTCATATAAACTATTATTTTGATAATTTAAAAAAAAATCTGTGATCAATGTTACTTATCATTTTAATCTCGTTTCTCCCGAATTGAAAATTATATTTTTAATCTCGCAACTTTTCATTTAGAAAAAAAAAACAAACTGTTTGCTAAAAACAATTTGATATATTTTCAATATTCATAAATATTTTCTACTGTAATTTGATTTATTCTGAAAAATGAAATCATTCTCTATCATATTAAAACTCGTTTGTTTTTTTTAAGGGCAGACATTTCTCTGGTTTATGAATCAACAGCTAATTCCGGTATAATTAGGTCGGCTTGGATTATTTGAGATTATAGCTCTTTACTTTCTAAGATTGCTTAGACCACGTTCAGTAATGATTTCCGCTGTACCGGAGATTGAACGCGTCAAGGAGCAATGACAAATTAATAATATGCGCATTCTATCGCCCGAGTATAATACAATGAAATTTTATAATTATAACACTATCGATAAGTTTTTTTTTACCCTAAATGGCTACCATTATTAGATCTCACCAACAGTGATAGTTCTTATTACTGAATTTAAATGTTTCTTCCTTGAACTCAAACGGAAGGTCATCAGACTACACCGTGCCCAGGGGTAGGCAACCTTTTGTAGACAACGGGCCAGAAAGCTATGCATTGTCTTGGAAGAGGGCCATGAAATCAAAAGTATTATAACAAATTGTCTCGATCTCAGATTGCTTTTTTTTTCCAGAAAGCTGCCTTCGTCTGAAAGTTTAAAGAAAAAACAACGAAGTTAATGTTACATTATTTAAACAATGTTCCTTGTTTTACTACAGGGATAACAGGATAACAACTAAGACAATAAATAATGACTTTCCTCATTACAAACGAAATACAGCTAGAAATGGTAAAGTATTTAATGAAACATTCGTTTCTGTTTATTGTTTGATAACTTCTTCACATCAGGTGAAATATTTGTTGATGACAAGAGCAAAGCATCGTCCAGTTAGTTTTCTTTACACTTCTTTATCGTGGATTCAATCTCTGAGTCCACCATGTTCTTGTAGTGGACCTTCTTCTAGCAGGAATAAACACACGTGTTCCTAATTTAACAACACGTAAACCCACGGTCCGCTACATCATCATCCAGGTGATCATCACCCAATCTTGTTCTTAAACGACTTTTAATAAATTTCATTTTCGAAAAAAAAGATGTTCACAAGCATGTGTATTTTCAAATAATGATACCATCATTTTCAAATTATTCAATAGGATTTTCTATTTTCCATTTGTCAAAACAGATTTCTTGTAGAAGTCAGAAGTGGATTCGGAATGAAATTTTGATTTAAAAATTCGTCGCATTGTAAGTCAATTAACTCCAAATTATATTTTTTTCTGCAACTTCCTCCACAAATTAATTACATAATTAGTGTCCAGGTATTAAGCTGATGGGCCGGACAAAAATCCTTCGCGGGCCGGATGTGACCTGGGGGTTGCCTACCCCTGGGCTAGACGTGTGTATAAAATATTGTATCAAAAGCATTACTTGCCAGTCGAAAATTTTCACTGAAGTAAATTTTTCTGTTCTCTCGTGTTCCTTTTTGAAGGATTATATGCTGTGTTACGATCATACTCCTCCCCAACTAAGAAACATGAACATTTCACCAGAAACAAAGAAAAGGAGGTCAATTGCTATATAATACCAGTCCTTCTATATAGCAATGAATGCTGGGCAATTTCTTCACGGATGAAGAGAAGTCTTTAAGTAACAGAAATGTGGTTCTACAGAAGCATGCTGAGAATACCAAGCTAGGTGGACAAGGAATTGAACTTATTTATTATTTGATATATATAAACTGAGATCGATATGAGTAAACAGACTTAGATAATCTTACTTCTATGTGTCGTGTCCATTCAGAACGCGGGTGATGATGGCTCTCCACAAATTTCTGTACTTTGTAGCCTTTATTAAAGTTTTTCTTTTTGCTATCTCTCCTAATCCAGGTCATGTCAACCATTTACACGAGCTCGTTAAGTAGGTTATTCGCGGTCTTAAATATGTCCTGTGAGTGTCAAATTCTCCAAACCCTCTTTCCTCATTATGTATCCGAGAAATTTCAAAAGTCTCTTTCTGATTCTAAATAAAAGTGTCCTTTTTGTTTTCATTTTCTCTAAAACTTCGTCATTGCTCACATGTTCGGTTCATGTTATTCTCAACATTCTTATGTCACTGTGTAACCATATTGCTGTTGCTTCAAGTCTCTTGCTCATCTTTGAGAAGATTGTCCAGCATTCGCTGCCATACAGGAGGACAGATATCACGTAACAGTTCAATACTCTTTGTTTTGAACGAAATTTTCATGTTTCTTAATACTTTGCATAGGTTTTAGAAGGCATCTTTATATATTCAGATTCGAATTTCGATGTGACATTTTCTGTGTTCTGTTAAAATAGTTCCCAGCAGCTATTTAAATTTTTCTATTTGCTTGATTTTAATATCTCCAAGTTGTTCTTTACATCTTGGGATTTTCCTCTTAGTGACAATAATACATTCTGAGTGCTTACAATTGGTGGTCAGTCCATTCTTCTGACTTTCCTTTATCACCTTCAATGGAAGCACCACCTCCCCGTTTCGTTTCTGTGTCTGAAATTACATCCCTGTAATTAAAGCAAGTGAATGGAGTCTTCCTCTTGAGCGCCGATTGAAAACGGTTCTCCTTTGGTGCGTCATTTCTTTTATTAAAACAAAATGCTTTCACACACACACATATGCAGAGATACACAAATATGCATATGCACACACTTTCTTTTTCTTCTTGCTTCTTACTTTCTTTCATTTTTGTCCCTTTTTAGCTTCTTTTTTTATTCATTCCTCCTTTCTTTCTTTCTTTCTTTCATTCTTTGCTTCCTTTCTTCATTCATTCATTCATTCCTTCTTTCTTTTTTCATTCTTTTTCTTTATTTCTTTATTTATTTATTTCTTTTTTCTTTTTCTTTCCTTCTTTCTTTCCTTCTTTCTTTCTTTTTCTTTCCTTCTGTCTTTCTTTCTTCATTAATTCATTCTTTCTTTCATTCATTTTTCCTTCTTTATTTCATTCATTCATCCATTTTTCATTCATTCTTTCATTCTTCCTTTCATTTTTTCTTCTTTCTTTCTTTATTTCATTCATTATTTCTTTCATCCATTCTTTTTTCTTTCTTTCTTCATTCCTTCTTTCGTTCATTCATTTTCTTTCTTTCTTTCTTTCATTCATTGTTTCTTTCTTTCATTCTTTTTTCATTCATTATTTCTTTCCTTCTTTCATTGTTTCTTTCTTTCATTGTTTCTTTCATTCATTCTTTCTTTCGTTGCTTCTTTCTTTCATTCACTCATTTATTCATTCATTCATTCTTTCTAAAATTTCTTTTTCTTTCTTTCTTTCTTTCTTTCTTTCTTTCTTTCTTTCTTTCTTTCTTTCTTTCTTTCACTTCATACGACAGATTACCTTTTGTTTCCCTCTCCCTTCACTTTATAAGCTTCCCTTTTTATGCTTCATCTCTTCCACATCTCTCTCTCTCTGTCTTAAATGCTTGTTTTCTTTCTTCTCTCTCTTTCCCCTCTTGTGCTCAATGGGTTGGTTTTGTCCCCCATTTATTTCATACTTCATTTCACCTGAAAATCCGATAAAAAACCAAAAAAAAACTTCAAATTGGTTACGCTTTTTTCCCACGACTTACAAACGAATGCCCGTCTCTCTCTATTCTGTTAATCGACACCACAACATTATAATTACGTAAGCATTTTTCAGTAACTGGTAAGGTTACCCAGTGTTATCACGCTTAAACTAAATTCCAGGATAATTATTCGTATTTTATCATAGTTAGGTTTTAGATGCAATTGAATCAAATAAAGCAGAATAATGCCATGGGAAAACTAAAAGCCAGAAATTGCTCATTCAAATTTTGAAAATTCTGGCGACAATTATTTTCTCGAGCTTTCTCCTTTGTTTGACGCTGCACAATTGGTACTTATAAAATGTTTTCTTGACTTACCGTGGGGATTAGTTTCAACCCTAGGACTATAAGAGAAAGGATATTTTTAAAACATAGTTAATGGGATCTTTACCGTGAAATAAGAATAGAAATGTATGCGTTATTTTTTATGTGGGAAAATTTATAAAATTTGGCCTTTTATCTCTTCTTCTGATATTTTATGTGCGGTCCGTTTACCCGGATTTTAGAAAGAAAAATAAAATGCGAGTATTGTGTCCAAAAATACAATACATTTTTTTTATGATCTTAACAGAAAAGGAAGAAAACCAAGCTAAATATGACAGTAACATTTATACAGTCAGATACATGTATTTATACAGTCAGATACATGTATTTATACAGTCAGATACATGTATTTATATATTAAAAATCAATATTCTTTGTTGTGGCCATGAAGTGACCAATAGTTCGTTTGTTTTGTTTTATTTTACGGCATATCAACCTCAAAGGTTTATTTAATGCCGACAAGATTTTTATTTTTTCTAATATTTTTTATCTATCTATCTATCTATCTATCTATCTATCTATCTATCTATCTCCGTATATATTAGTTTGTTTTGTTTTATTTTGCGGCATATCAACCTCAATGAGTTATTTAATGCAGACAAGATTTTTATTGCTGGTAATATATTTTTTTTTCAAAAATGTATAGCTGGTAATATTTTTTCTTCAAAAATTTATTGCTGGTAATAATTTTTTACAAAATATTTCTGATTTTAAAACATATTTTTACACTTTAATAGTGTTTGGACCCTAGTTTGGTGTTAACTATTTACCCAAAGCTGGGACCGTAATTAAGATGTGGTCCCACGCTCCTCAAAACCTTCAGATCAGGGGCCTTGCTGTTGGACGTAGTTTGTTGTCTTACCCAGGACATGGATGTAGTTTATCGTCTTACTCAGGACGGCCAATAGTTCGATTGTTTGAAATGATTTTTCGCAAGTGAGTCTGAAAAGTTTCGATGTGTTTTTATTGCAAGTGGTAAATGTGTGTGTTTGTGTGTGTGTGTGTGTTTGTGTGTGTGTGTATGTTTGTAAAGCACATGCTAATGAATCATGTGTATGACTGCTGACTGATTGTGTGCGATAGAAGTAATGTTAAAACACTGAGCAAAAATAGGGGATACAGGATTTACATTCGTCGCGGATCTGTATGCAGAAAAATCATCGCTGACTGACGTATTATCATGGTAACGTCTGTCTAAGCAGTTGATCGAGGATGGTCTGGTTCTGGATGGTCTGCTGTCCTTCACTGACTGAATCATTGCAGATATAGTCACTGACTATTACTGACGAGTCGTTTTTACCTTTTTTGCGCGGAAATGTACTCCGTTTCCCGAACCCTGACCTATTTCTAGGTCATTTGGAGTTCAACCGCGCGGACATCGTAGAAAGCACATCACATGACTTGTTCTCTCCAATCACGTTCCAGAAACTACTTATTTAATTTGGAGCCACGTTTGTACAGAATTGTAAAAAAAAAAAAAAAAAAAAATTTTTTCGTATCTACTGAATTTAGTAAGATTTATTTGAAGTGATCTCTTACTTATTTGGGCTTCACTTATTGCCGTAAAATAGAAGAGTTTGTATCCTATAATACGACTCTTACAAATAATGACACGTGCGAAAGTTGGTTAAAGTGTAATGCCTTTAATTACAACAGTTTTAATAGTAGAAGCTCACAAAACATACCAAAATGAACACAAAAGTATTAGGATTTCAAATCTAGTCCTCAACATAGGCTCCTCCCTTTGCAATCGTAGTATAAGGGTCGGATAATAAGTAATGCCTCTTCTTCTTTAACTACAACAGATTCAATGGTAGAAGGAAAACAAGATATACCAAAATTAGCAACAAAGTCTCAGAATTCTAATTTAGTTCTTAACATCGTTTCCTCCTTGTCAATTGTGATATTCCACCATTGAATGAAGACATGTATATTCGCCCTATAAAATATTTGCCTCTTTCACCTCATTATCATTGGAGAACAGCTGTTCTTTGAGTGTTATCAATGTTTTGCAGCTTCAAAAGCACTTTGGCATCATTCTGGGAACCAACTATGCACAGAACTTTGAGTAGCAAAGCCATTGCACTAAATTGCAAGGAACTACCAAGATTCCTTTTAAGGCATTCACAGAATATTCGCACCTGGGATGCGGTCAATACTTGAATCGCAGCTTTGTTAAAATAAAAGTAAAGTGATTCCTTAATCCAGAAAGTAAGCCCACATAATTTCTTCTACGAAAGTAAAACAAATAAAATATTTAAAAAAAGAAATATCTATTTTAAAATTTGGGGGGATAATAAAAAATATGTATTATTGTCATTATACGTGTGCGTCATAGTTTCTTTTCAGTGACAACCAGTCATGGATACAAGTATTTTTTGTTTATGGTAGTCATTTAAAAAAAGACAAAATAAATTCGTGTCCTGCGCATGACGATAAGCTACATCCGGCAACAAGGCTTCTTCTGATCGGGAGGTTTTGAGGACCGTGGAGCCACCTCTTAATTGCTATTGTTCCCAGGTCTACTCTGACTCAGGGTGGTATCACCTGTTAGGGCCCCAACTATGAGCAAATACTTAATCCCAAAACTTAGGACAAAATACCATGAAAGTATAAATATACATTTTTATAGTAAAAATACCAGCAATACATTTTCATAGTAAAAAAATTACCAACAATACATTTTTGAAAAAAATAAAAAATTACTAGCAATATGGATTTGGAAAAAAAATAACAGCAATAGATTTTTGCAAAAGAAATTACTAATGCACCCAAGATAATTAACTTTTAGCATTAAATGATCCAAATTCCGCTAAAAAAAATAAAAATAGATTCAACGTGCTCCTTGCAAGTTTTCATTTAAAATTATAAAATATATTTTTCTAGAAAAATTGTTCAGTGAAATTGCATTTTCAATGGCACAAATATTTTCCCTCATAATAAAAAAAAATGCTTAAAAAAAAACACAAACATGCCAACGAGCAATGTGTTTTGCTTAAATAGGTAACTTAAGCCACTCTCTATCTCCATCGCCGAATTGGTAAAGGCTATAGAAATGTTAGTTTTCATGATGGGGTACAGGTTCGAACCCTGACTTAGGCGCCATCCTTCTTTTTCTGGAGTTCTCAATCTATGCTGGTTGGCATTAATTTTACTGTTTAAAAAATAAGAATAAAAAACAGTTACAGCAACTCTAATATATGTCACCACTAAAAATAACGTTTGTAGCTATTACAGTGTAACCCGGATATAAGAGAAACCCGGATATAAGAGAAACCCGGATATAAGAGACTTCTTATCCGGTCCCGACAACTCTCTTACATCCGGGTTACGCTGTATATATACAACTTTCTTTTTCTATACATTGTGAGTAGTTATTTTCAATGAATGAAAAGTTCTATTTCTATTTACAAGAGGACCAAATTTAAAATCGAAAATTGTTTATCCATTTAAGATATTACATTTATTTGAAAATATATTCATTTTAAGAAGTCATGAAAATGAGTTGAAAGGGCCGAACATTTAGGCTTTTACTCATTTCCTATTACCAAGGGTTTGTTGCTAGACTAAAAGGGAAATTTGAATTTCCTTCAAAATGAAATTTCAATCGTTATCTACTGTTTTATTGATTCCTCTTTTATTATTCTTGTTCTATGATAATGTGGTGGAGAATCGTCCTTCCTTTTATTGATTATTGCTTTCATGTTCGTTGTCAGTATTCGATATCAAGTGTCAACGTATAATCACCAAAAGAAATATATTTAATTTGTTGGACTTCATCGATTTTGAAACACAGGTCCACATTAGAGGCACAGGTACCGTTGATAAGAGATACTTCGTTGGATGGTGGGCACCTCGGCGTGCTTGGAAAATCTCTACTTCGTTGGATTGTGGGCACCTCGGCGTGCTTGGAAAATCTCTACTTCGTTGGATGGTGGGCACCTCGGCGTGCTTGGAAAATCTCTACTTCGTTGGATGGTGGGCACCTCGGCGTGCTTGGAAAATCTCTACTTCGTTGGATGGTTTATTTACGGTTAATGGTTAGCAAGCCTGTCATGCTAGATCAGTTATTACTGAAAAGTGAGTTCGATCCTCACTGGGTGCCCCATACTTTCGGACTTGTGCCACATCTAAGCTATGCCTGGAAAATCTCTACTTCGTTGGATGGTTAGCAAGCTTGTCTTGCTAGATCAGTTACTACTGAAAAGTGAGTTCGATCCTCACTGGGTGCCTCATACTTTCGGACTTGTGCCACATCTAAGCTACGCTTGGAAAATCTCTACTTCGTTGGATGGTTTATTTACGGAGCACTCAGTGATGAATGAATACGCGATTACAAAGAGCTTACGGCCATATCACAATAAAAAACCGGTTCCCATACGATCAAGTTAAGAAACGTCGAGACTGGTCAATACCGAGATGGGTAACCACTTAGAAATGCCAGGTACTGTAAACTTGGATGTTTGGGTGGTGTCATGGATGATAGCTTGGAATTTTTAATCGAAGAACCGTGTTCCAATTGGTTATATTCACTTACGCGCTAATACCCTTGATAAAAGTAGGAATCCACTTCTCTCCCAGCTATAGGTTAATTATTAAAACTTGCATCACTAAATCATTGTTATCTTAAAAAAATTCTTACAATCTAAAAAAATATTTTCTAGTTTAAAATAACCTACAAAGGGTTGATAAGCCGTAAAAAACGAATCAATCCATCACTTAACAAATGGTTTACATAACAAGCTCATTGCCGTCAAGCCTCATTGAGTACTCAAATACAAATAAAAAATTTACATTTGTTTGAATTTCTGGGATGAAGAGTTATCAATATTTACACTATTTAAATTCGGACTATTGTCCTCGTTTTTGTTATCACAACTTTTCGGCCGTTGTGCTTTCCGGCCTTCCCCAGGTATATATCGATCTGACTAACTTGCAGGGATTCCTAAACTGAACCCTTTATTTAATCTACGGGGTTAAACTGTTCTCATAGTACTGCAGTATATTCTAATTCTTTCTTTTAGAGTATATTATTTTTTTCGAGATTTCTAAGCACAAGACAGCTCTAAGGCTTATTCGGTATAGTTTCGGGATGCAAAAAAAAAAGTTTCATTGATTCCGTTCCCACGCAGAAGATTGAAATTTCTGTTTATTGTGTGCCAAAGTGGTTATTATTTCTTTACACAGATCTTTTAACTCATAAACATGTAGACAATTAATGAAATCAAATTAGTACGCGGTGATTAGCGATGAATAGTTATCTCCCTTGATATTATTTATTATTATAGTTAACCGGAAACGCGAATCCCACGATATTAAAATTCAGTGGAAAATTCTTCTTCTTCTACTTGTTGTGTCCCTTCAGGAAGTTGGCGATCGGGGTTTTCTACAATTTCCTGTCCTTTGTAGCTTTTAATAAATTTTGTCTTTTTGCTATCTCTCCCCTGATCCGTCATCTGTTCACTCAAGTTCACCAGGTAGGTCCATAGTTGTCTTCCTCTGTTTCATTAACCTTCAATCTGTCCCGTGAGTATCAAATTTTCAA